GCAAAACACCTAGTTTTTCTTATTGGTTAAACAACTTAGTTGTTTATGCTCAACAAACTACCAAGATAATTTCATTGGATTAATGATAGTGCTGCTTTCTGAGAGTGGTCTTCACTTTTCCAGTGCCATTAACATCTAACCGGTGATGTTTTTAACAACCCTCTTAAGCTCTTTTAGCCTAAAAGTTTTAGGTATATTAATTATTTTATTAGATTGTTGGAATGCTTCCATATTGGTAAGTTGAGTATCTAATTTGTTTCTTTGTTTTGTTAATAATATTATTCAACCTAAACTTGTTTCTCTAAAAAACTAAGCGATGTTAGATTTTTTAACCCAGTGATATTCCTCCACATTTCACAAGAATGTTTATCTGTCAACAATTGAATATTAAGTTTCATTTTTCATCACCTAAATCTTTGATACTTAAACAATGACCACAACCATGAGAAAAATATGTGTTTTTCATCACGAGTTGAATACACTTATGTGTCATGGCTGGAATCTGTCCTAGTACCGATTGGGAGAAACCATATGATTATGCCTAGCATTCAAAGCAAATACTATGAAAACAAGTATAAGTTTAATTTTATTTTTTTTTATTCTCACAATAAGATGTACATTGGGTTAAAGAGGAGAGGAGATAACGGAGCCGGGCTAACTTTATAGACTTTACATGTAACACGTTTTTGAAAACTTTGAAGGAGAAGTTAGATTCTTGCAAAGAAGGGAGGAGTTTTCTGAAAGAGCTTGTTGTGAGGCTGTTAAAGCAACAGAGCTATCAGGCGCTTGTAAGATTGTGGTAGTGATGCTGAGCAAGTATCTGACACCAGAATCTTCCAGTTAGATGATTGTTCCAGATATTTGTCAACCAAAGAAGATCAACACCAACATCAATGAATGCTGGAGGAACCTGTGTACTTGAAATAGTATACAGTACTGAGCATCTTTGTTGCAGATCGTGAGCTCCCTAATAAGCCTCAAAGCTTGGAACATCTAGTATCACCAGTTGTTTTGTTGAGATCAGTGTTAGGTTATCTATAGAATTTATTGGCTAAATAGAAACAAGAAACTTACCATCTAATATAAGCTAACAAATGTTCATACATTTAAACTAAATCGGATATAGTTCTATACAAATGCATAGTCCCAAAGAAAGACAAATAACACAACAAATGACACTGTACATTTATGGAGTCTCTATGACACAAGACTCCACTTTGTGTCTCATATTTTTTTTCCATTCGTATGAAAGAAAAATTACATTAGAGAC